AAAAGAAAATACTCATTTGTTGAAATAAAAAAAATCTATCTATAACATAAAAAAGAAAGTACTATTAATAATATTTTTATTTAGGATGGGGTGGGGTGGGTAGGTGGGGTGGGGTGAGTAGGTGGGGGTGTGGGTTGGTGGGGGTTGGTAGGGATGGGGTATAGCGCGGGGAAGGTTGAAAAAGAGTTTTGGAAAATGTCTTCCCTTCTCTTGATAGGGAAAACATTTTCCTCCAATTGGAGAAAAATGAGTTCATGAGGAAAATATTTTCCAAAAAATTTAAGTCAACCAAATATGAAAAAATTGAAAAATATTTTCCGCAAAATATTTTCCTTCATACCAAATACACCCTTAATGTGAAGAAAAAAAAGATAACCAAATCAACCAATCGAAAAGAAAGAATGTCAAGCTTATAGCATTGGAAATTAACTAAGGAAGAAAAGGTGATAGGCGTAACTCAACTTGTGAAACTCGTCACGCTTTTAGGGTGTGTTTGGTACGAAGAAAAATGTTTTCCTAGAAAATTTTTTTATGGAAAATGACTGGTTTTATCACTTATTTTTTCTTTTTTGGTTGGTGAGTGGAAAATTTTTTCTAGAAAATTTTTCTATTTTCTTCAAGAGTTTAGTTATTCTTCTAAAAATTCACACAAACCCAAAGGAACTAATGTGCTGCTTTACTTATTTATACAAAAATAACGTTGAAATTTGTCTACAAAGAAAATACTCTTTATTTTTGTTGAACAAAAACAAGTATAAGGTATTACAGTAATAAATTTTACAAAAGAAAAATAAGAGTTACACAAACTAGAAAGTTAAAGGTTACACACAATTTATAAAATGGACGCAGAAAATTTATGACATTCTACAAAGAGTTGTAGAAAGTGGACAAAATTTACATAGAATATGTAAAAAATGTGAAATAATCATACCTTGTATAATTTGAAAAAAAGGTACCATATCCGGTGTTGAAATGAGGTAACTTTTTATATATTATTCTTTCTATTTGAACTTGTAGTCGTAGATATGTCATTATATTTTAAAACATTGTCAGTAATGATAAAATATAAAATGTATGCTAAATAAATTTTAAATTTAGAAAGGTAAAATTTGTTAATGGGACTGATTAGTAAAAAAATCATGCCAACTAAAATAAAATGAATGATTACTAAATGCCCTCTTTCTAAAAATAAAAATATATAAGTGCATTCTTTTTACATATTTACATCATCAACCGAACAATAATAACAAAGTCCTTAGAATTCGAATTTATAACTTCTTATTTTAAATTAAAACTTGTACAAAAATTACATAATCAAACTCGTTGTATGTATCAAAGCTGCAGATAAATTAACGTGCTCTTAGTATAATATCTATCAGTTAATTAGATTAATAAATGGAAATCTTTCTAAAATTTTAAGTACTTAACTATAAAAGAAGTTAGTAATACTTTTCAATACATTGCTGTGGATATCCTATTATATGAGCTGTTGTTCCTCATACTCTTTCCGTTTTTGGGTCGACGGTTGGGGTGGGGTGGGAGGCGAAGGGGGGTGGGGTGGGGTGGGGTAGGTAGGTGGGCGTATGGGGGTGGGTTGGTGGGGTTTGGAGGGAATAGAGAATAGGGCGAGGAAGGTTAAAAAAGAATTTTGAAAAA